TTCAACAATCTGTGCAATTTTGTGGTTTGCCAAGTGATGATCCTAATGCTCATATTGCTAACTTTTTAGAGATTTGTGACACTTTTAAATATAATGGAGTTTCTGATGATGCTGTTAGACTAAGGCTTTTTACATTCTCTCTGCGAGACAAGGCAAAGAATTGGTTAAATTCTTTACCTTGTTGGGTCAATCACCACATGGGACATGATGGCTCAAAAATTTTTAAGTAAGTTTTTCCCTCCTGCTAAAATTGCTAAGATGCGTAACGATATTGCCACTTTTGTGCAGCTGGATATGGAGTCATTATATGAGGCATGGGAGAGATACAAAGAGCTACTCAGGAAGTGTCCACATCATGGTCTACCTATATGGTTACAGGTACACACTTTTTATAATGGTTTATTTCCTAATAATCGTACTATGCTTGATGCTGCTGCTGGAGGATCATTAATGAGTAAACATGCTGATGAGGGTTATAACCTCATAGAGGAGATGGCTTCAAATAGTTATCAATGGGGTTCGGAAAAATGGGGTTTGGAAAGATCACACATTAAGAAAAATGCTGGGATTTATGGGGTTGATGCCTTTACTGCTTTAACAGCACAAATTGAGGCTTTAAACCAAAAGTTAACTAGGATGAATGTCTCAACTATACAAGCCACAAACATTAATTGTGACTTGTGTGGGGGAGCACATCCTAGTTCTGAATGTTTAGAAGGTAATTCTTTTATTTCTTCATCTGAACATGCTAACTTTGTTGGTTTTAATAAGCAGCAAAATAATTCATACTCCAATACATATAATCCTGGATGGAAGAATCATCCAAATTTTTCTTGGAGTAACAACCAAAATATAGTAAAGCAACCTCCAGGATTTCAGCAACCAGTTGAGAAAAAGTCAGATTTGGAGGATTTGTTGAAAAAATACATTGTGGTTAATGAGTCAAGGTTTCAAAGTCAAGAAACAGCAACCAAGAGCTTGGAAGCTGCAGTCCAGAACCAAGGTGCATCAATTTGGAATTTAGAGGTTCAGGTAGGTCAATTGGCAAGTGTAGTTTCGAGAAGAGCACAAGGAGCGTTACCAAGCAGTACTGAAAAAAATCCTAAGGAACAAGTGAAAGCTATAACATTGAGAAGTGGGAAGCAAATTGGAGATGAAGAAAGCTCAGACAATGAGGGTGAAAAAGAGAAAGCTCCAACGGAAGAGAAAAAATCTGAAGTGCCATCTAAAGAATCTGAAGAAGTCAAGCCTTATGCGCCTCCAATTCCTTTTCCACATAGGTTGAAGCAACAAAAGCTAGATAAGCAATTTGCTAAGTTTCTAGATATTTTTAAGAAATTGCACATTAATATTCCTTTTGCAGATGCGTTAGCTCAAATGCCTAGCTATGCTAAATTCTTAAAGGAGATCTTCTCTAACAAGAGGAAATTGGAAGAGTATGAAAATGAAACTCACTAAAGAATGTTCTGCAATTCTTCAGAATAAACTTCCCCCAAAGCTAAAGGATCCAGGGAGTTTTACAATTCCTTGCACAATTGGAAATTGTCATTTTGATAAAGTTTTGTGTGATTTAGGAGCCAGCATTAATCTGATGCCATTTTCTATTTACAGGAAACTTGGGCTTGGTGAGGCAAAGGCAACAACAGTATCTCTTCAATTGGTAGATAGATCTATCAAACATCCACGGGATATTATTGAAGATGTCCTGGTAAAAGTAGATAAATTTATCTTTCCTGCTGATTTTATAGTTTTGGACATGGAAGAAGACCATGAGGTACCTCTTATCTTAGGCCGACCTTTTCTAGCCACTAGTAGAACTTTAATTGATGTGCAGCAAGGAAAATTGATGCTTAG